ATATAAAACAATAATGGAAAAACAATGACCAACTATAAACACTGATTGGAAAGCTCTTGAAACTAGTGGTTTGACTGAACTAGATATCTTTAACACCAGCATTCCCTTCTTGAGTCACTCGATGGTTTGCCAGAATTTCTTTGATCCCAACCCAAAGTCCTTCTCCATAGCCCCCCAAACTCCTCCCACACCTGGGTTTTTGCATCTCCTGCAGCTGCAATCACAGCAGCAGCAGCAGCAGCAGCAGCAGCAGCCCTGCATCCTCTGAGGAGGAAGCAGAGTTTGAATATTCAGGAGATGCTGCACTCCTGTCTCTGAGGGAGTTCAAGAGGCTCCTCAGCAACAAGGCAACAGATGCAGGTGAGATTCGCCCAGAGAAACTGAAGGCTCTGGACATTGATGAGCTGTCTTAGCTGACACGCCTGTGCACTGGCAGACTGTGGTGGTGGTTCCTGTATTTAAAAAAAAAAAAAGGGGGGACTGGAGAGTGTGCTCTAGTTATCAGGGTATCACACTGTTCAGCCTTCCCCTGGAACTCCAGGAGGACCAATGCGGATTCTGATCTGGGCATGTACTTTAACAGTGAACCAGCTCTTTACCCTTTGCAAGGATAGTGGAGGGGTCAAGGTGCAGCCAGGGGGAAGAAAGTATCCGGTTTGGAGACCTCAGAATCACCTCTGCTTTTTGCGGACAGTGTGGTTATTTTGCTTCATCAGACCTATGGCCTATGGCATGCAATGGGACTTATTGCACCTTCAAGTCAGAGGCCATGGAAGATGGTGTATTGCTCCCTCCAGGTGTCATCCTTACCTGTGTGCTGAGATGGGAGCTAATCACTAAAGCCTTACTCTCCACACAGGTATGCTGGCTGTCATGGAGGAAAGTCCTGTCATGTCTATGAACTTCATGAATAGGAGTTAAACACCAGGCTTCAGGGCAGGATTTGGGAGTTCATGGACAAGCTTCCCCTGTGGCATGAGGCTCTGGACCAGGGCTCCATGGACATGTTCCCACTAGCATTAGCTGCCCCACAGGCAGCCAGGGAGTGCGCTGCATTCGCCACACACCTTCAGACGAGAGAGACTTGAATGCTATTTTACACGTGGGGCTGACCTTGAGGACTATGACTGGATTCAAGACCCATTCAAACAGGAATCATCAACATCCAATTCATCCATTCATTTTCCTCCGCTTATCCAGGGTCAGTGGGTGGTGGCAGTAGACTAAGCAGGGCATCCTAGACATCCCTCTTTTCAGCTCCTCCTGGGGGCTCCTGAGGCGTTCCAAGGCCAGATGGGATATGTAATCCCTCCAACAAGTTCTGGTTCTACCTCAGGGTCTCCTCCCAGTTGGACGTGCTCAGAAAACCTCCAAAGAAAATGCATTCAGGACTCCGAGCTCCTTCCGGACGTCCGAGCTGCTCATCCTGTCTCCAAGGCTGAGCCCGGACACCCTGCAGAGGAAACTCAGTTCAGCCACTTGTACCCACTTGTATCTCATTCTTTAGGTCACTACGGAGTCGGATGGTCATGGAATCGTCAACAGAAAAGGGGGAATGTGCAGAGTTCCGTATTTACCAGACAATGAAACTCAAACTTAGTGAACTCCCACTAGATCAGGTTTGGTTGGCTTCTTCATCAGACTACCCAACCACATCCCTCCCTGCTTGTTTTCCACACTCCACCTGTGTGACTTAGCATTCAGTACTGGCCCCTCTCTTTAGGACCAGCAAAGATGAAAAGAATCTGCGAGCAGCGACAGGCTGTCTAACAAGCCTTTAAGTAGGAAAATGTATTTGCAATAGCAAACGTTTTAATGCAGATTCAAATTGATGTTACATTTACAATTTCCGACAACACATTGTCTTTTCCGCTGCATTGATACTGTGGTTGTATTCATGGCAGTTAGTTTTTTACTCTCAGTGTATGTCTTTCTTCTGAGCTCGGTCTGTAAAGAGTGATTGCATCTTGCTCGACCACGGCTAGATCTACTCCTGTCTCTCTCTCTCTCTCTCTCTCTCTCTCTCACACACACACACACACACACGCGCACACACACGATCACACCCACACACACAAATACACGCACTTTTCTGTCTCTCCCTCTCTTCAGTTCCATTACCTCATTTTTAATTTGAGACCTGTCTCTTTATTTTGTTAAATATTTCATGAGTAAAATGGTCGTTTGTCCAATTTTATTTGGCGTCAGTAAATAAAAACAAATGTTTACAGAGTGATAAGAGAGAGAACACGTGTTATAGAGGCTGTTTAACAGCGATATGAACACAGGTGTGTCTTGAGACATTAACTTGCCCTAAGTTACTTGGTTTGAAAACCACTAACTAGCATATGGTGCCTGCATTCTGATTGGATAGAGCACTTCCTTATTATTAAGCTCTTGTGGCCTTGGTTAAAAGTGTGTTAAGTTAATGTGTTTATCTGCTACATATGTTATTTGTAGCTTCCCAATGTTTTCTACTCAACCACAGAATTAAAAAGTATTCACTGTTCTGCTTTAGAAATGGCTCAAGTGGAGAGAGTGCGGGTTCTCCGAGGCAAATCATTATCATATGTTTTGGTTATGTCTGTTACTAATTCCGTCCTGAGGCGAACGGTTCGCAAAGTTTTATAAAAGGTATTTCAGGTGGACATCCCATATGAGCTAGAGACCCTGTACATGGCGCCCTGCTACTAGAAAATGCTACTTCTTTGGATGGATATTTATTTCAGATTCTAAGTGCTGCTTGCGATAGAAAGTGGCTCATACCAGAGACACCTACTGTGGATGATTGACATTACTCATGAAATCTTTAAAATGGAAAGAATTTCTTTTTTATCAGGTAGCAACAGGAAAATATGTGAAAGATGGATAATTGATAATCGGATGGATTATTGGAATCATTTGTATAATGTCTTCTTTTTCTTGTACACACTTTTTTATAAAGGGTTTTGAGCAGTGGTGTGCATGAATGTGTTGAAATGAACGCTGTTCATTGAATACGAATCAGTTTACAAATGTTGAACGTGAACATACAACAGTTTTACGGCACCCCGCATGATGTCTCAATGACACGCCCCAGCTTGGCTGGTGTCAGCGGTACAGACGGGACAGACGCATCTGCTACTGCTGAAGCCAGTTTATTTGAGCATTTGAAGCAGTTTCATGAACAAACAAGTGAAGACTCGGACAGATTATATTTATATACAGATCATAAATGTAACTCGTATCTGTGATTCTTCAGTGGTATATACAATAATTCGTTTAGTTTGGGAGTGGCGGTGATTTGGGGCTGGTGATGGAGGGTAGAAGGAGGTTCTATTGAAAAAGAATATCAGCCTATTCATTTTTAAAAAATGGAACAAATGACCATGAACTAGTTCATTTTTGGAATTGTGAACTTAGTTCATAATTTTAAAAAATGAACTATGAACATGAATTAATTAATTTTGGTTTGTATGTACTGAACTTTGAGCTAATTCATTTTAAGTGTGAACTGGCACAGCACTGGTTTTGGGTATCAGAAAAGTACACCTTGTCATGGTCTCAGCCTGGAGGCTCCAGGTTTTTGGTTTTTGGACTTTCTTGGTTGGGTTTTCTGTGTTTTGGGTTTCTGTTCTGGGTTCTGAGTGTTTCTGGTTTGGGTGTTCTGGTTAGTTTAGTCTTCCCTGTCTTGTGCTCTGTTTCCCTGTGCACTTCCTGTTTTATTTTGATAGTCATGTCACCCCAGTGTCTGAGTTCTAGTTTTGCTTCCTTTTGTTAATCATCCCTGATGTGTCCCACCTGTGTCTGCTTCCCCACCTGTTCTCCATTGTTAATCAGTTCTGTTCCTTTTTTAAGAGCCCTTGTTCTGTCTTGTCCTTGTGGGATCATTGTTTGTTTCTTGTGAGGTTTAATGTGTGTTCCGGTGACTCTGGTTTGGACTTTGTTTCTTTTGGAATAAATTCTTTGACACGGCTACCGTCTCCGCATTTGGGTCCATCCCTTACCCCTACTTACCTCAAGGACGTGACACACCTCTTTTTTGTTGTTGTTTTTTGTTATAGTTATCTGGATTGGATTTGCTTTGCTTTCTCTGTTTGGTATTTTATATATTGGGTATTTACTTATTTATTTTTTGCATTTTAATTTATTTCTTTTTCTTCTTGTTGGATGTTTACATGATATACAGTATATATCATAGCACATTTTGAAGCCCAATAACTCAAACAACAAATATTAATTTCTACTACTCTCAATCCAAGCTTTTCTTTCATCCATGTCTTCTGGCAAACAGTCGTTTCCTTTCAGCTCTGCACAGGACTTTCCATTAACGGACTGTAGTGTTTGTCAGGCGAAGCTCACTCCATCCAAAAAACCTTTGACTTGAAAACTTTTCAAATAAAGCTAATTTTTCATCTTTTGGAGTTTCCTGTCATTGTGAGAAGGCTTGGATCAATAAACCAGAGCTGATATTAACCTTTGAATTGGAACATCAGTCAGTGTACACAGATTTGGGAAGTGCCCCGGACTGATTTCTAAATCCATATTTTGATCAGATTTAATTTATTTCTGTTCGTCAAACGCTGACATAATCCTCTGAATCTTCTTCCTTCTGTGGCTTAATTCACTCACATGTTTCCTGTTAGCCAACTATTAACTGTAATTCAGACAAAAGTGATGCGCTCTGGCCTTTCATGTACAAGGCCAGTCTGCTGGTCGGTGATTAATGAACCCCTTCCGTCTTCTGCACCGTGAACTGTGGCCTGGACTTAATTAAAACTCAACCGTTGACCACCAATCATAAATTACTTCCCACAACCTGTGAGACTTTTGGAATAAAAAAGAATAAATTGGTTTCTTACCAATTAAAAATTTACAAATGAAAGGGAATAACAATCCCAGGGCAGGGATCTACATTGTGCTTGTGCTTTGAGAACGCTGACAGCGCCATCCCTGAGTGTGAGGCAGCGGTGTCTGCTGGGTGATTGATGCCTATTGTCCACTCTGCTTGTGTTTTGCAGGTAGCTGCTGTCATTACAGTGTCGCCTCAGTGCTCCTGCCCAGTCTGATCCCTGACCTGAGCAGCTGGTTTCCAGTTGGAGGGAGCTGCCCCGCAACGACGTCTCTACTCCATCATCTCTGGCTCTGTTTCCATGTGCTTCAGGCCGGGGACGGAGGCCTTTCTCAGGGAGGTGGCCCCGGTCTGAGCCTCTCATGTAATCATCATTGTGCTTGTTTTTCTTTTCTCATGCCGTGGGTGTGTCTTGTGACTGGAGTGTTATCATTGATGCTGAAGTCGCAAATGTGAATTCAGTCATTACACCAGAGGCACAGAGGGTGTTTCCTGTGATGGGTCACTGTTGTATATCACACACACAGCGGCAGCTCCTCACTGTGGTGTTTTATCAGAAAACCAGATGAAGATGGAGCTTTATTGTCTTCACTGCTGTACTGTACACTCTGTTTCCTCTGAGTATTTTTATGGAAATAAACCACATATTTATCAGCCTGTAGTGTCATTCAATCAGTGTTATATTGTACTGTTTCTTGATATTGGTAAATATTGTTTGGCCAAATATATCTTCCAAAATAAAAGTCAAAGTTCAACAGCAACAGGACGTTAAGGCTGTTTGTGTTTGATCTGACTATTATGAGACTTGATATTTCTATGTGTGTATTTATGTCAGCATATACTATATAATTTTTCATTTTCAATAAGAACGGTTTCTCAACGTATATGTGAAGTAGCTTTCCTTAATCATGCCACTGATGCATTGTCAGTATACAATAACAACCTGTTGTTCTTAGAACATCAGTATACACCTGTCCTTCTCACGTTACACAGTATGTTTGTCTCCGGTCTTACTCTGCACCTTCCTTACAGTTTGAAAACCTCTGCGATTTGGTATGGCATGAAAAGTAGCACAAATTACAACAAGCTGCCAAAATCAATTTTGACCTGTGCAAACAACAAATAAATAAAAACCTGTGTCTTCCTCCCAGTTCAGTCCTGGTGCCAACTCAGATTTACAGAGGGTAAATATATATAACCATAAAAAAAAAATGATGTAAAGATGTTATCACTGTTATCAGCTCATCATAATTGAAAATACAGTCAGTTTTATTTTTTATTTATTCAAGCCAAACACACACACACACATCTGAGATTTCTTTCAAAGGATTCTACAATCTCTGTTGGTTTGGATCAGGAAACATTCACGAAAATAAACAAAAAACAAAACTTCAATAAAAAAAGACCTGAGAAAGAATGACTTTCGTCTCCTTTTCACATGGATCCAACATCAAGTGTCCCAGTGACAAATCAAAATGGTGCAAGAAAAGTTTAAAGGACGGCAGATCAGCAGAACAGAACATGAAACAACTAGACGTGAATATAAAACTTTGTTAATATTTATTTATATTTAATGTCTGTATATTACCTCCCATGTCTTTGTAGCTCTTGTAACAACATGTGACTAACTGATGAGCTAAGTTACTTCCTCCCTCTTGCCTCCTTTCTCCTGATTGGTCAGCAGTGTCTAGAATTACATTGCCTCTGCTCTGAGCTGACGACGGTCCTGTGCCTGAAACATTCTCACCCTCATTGTTAGCGTGTGGACAGTTCTTTCTTTTTGTGATGGGACTGTTTACCTTGGCTCCTGCAAACAGTGAGTGTCCACTTATTTTTATCCCCATGGCAGACCTCCCCTCAATATGCTGCGTATTGCCCCCCCCCCAACTCCCGCACCCCTTTTTTGTGTTTCGGTAACGGGGGTTAAGTTTTTTGCCGTCGTCTCTCTTCTTGAGTTCGGGCCATCAGTTAATAGCCTATTAGAAACTTGAAACAGCTGTCCAGAAAAATATGCTCAGGATTGTCAGAAGTCAGATGAGAAGATCAATATCAATTTCATTTTTGTGAATGTGCGACACAGACAGGTATGAGGGCAGGTCAACAGATAATGTCACTCCCAAAATGTTGAGTGTTCCTTTCATTCATTAAGAACTATATCAGTCATTTTAATTAAAACATTTGGATTAAGCTTGATGCAAAGCAGAGGGTGCAGTCTACCTACAATCAGGACCTGAATTATATTTGTATTAAATAAGGAGTGAAAACGAGGAATCCTGCAGGGAAATAGCGCAGGTTTACAGTTGGGCATTAAGGGGTTAATATATAGATAGACAGCCTACAAATGAATTCTCAAAAATGTAATGACATGTTGGGGCTACAGACTTTATATTAATACCGCAAGGATACAATCTGCCCTCTGACTGACTTCATGCCTGTGTTTCCTGTTTTATTTTGAAATTACTAACCCTGTACATCTGTTGTTTTACTTCCTGCCTTTTTCGATTGAGAATTAGTTTCACCTGTTTCCAGTCACCACTGCCTTCCTCATGTATTCAGCCGCTGTGTTCCCAATCCTCTGTGGATTTTCCCTCGTCTTCCTCATGAGCTGAATCCTGTGTTAGCTCCTGTTAGCTGCTGTTAGTTTTCCTGTTTACCTGTGTTTATTTCCCTGTTTGTTTCTGGATACCTACCTGCCATCTAAAAGCTTGGTCACTACTTCAGCCTTCCTGTGTGTCTGCGTCCGGGTCCATCTGTGATTGGTCAGCTTGAAATGCTTGGTTGTGTCTGAAATCACTAACTCAGTTATACAACTAACTATTGTGAGCTCATCAGTAAAATGAGAAAAAAAAAAACATTTTCACACACTTCTGTAATTTTCTCCGCACTGTTTTTCTTTCTCTCAGCACAAACGCAATGCATGATGGTATATATTGCTCGTTAGTGACCATTGGTTGTGCACTACTTTTCACGATGCATTGCATGATGCTATGTGTCCACTATATAGTGTATACATTTCTCACTATACATTCAGAACACATGAGTGAACAACAGAAGTCGTCTATTCAGTTACACAACAGAGCCAACTCATGATCACTCACATCACACAGTGATTATGAGTGTAAACAGTTTCTGCAGTGCAGCTTGATCATGGACAAGACATGAGCCTAGAGGTGAGGTTGTGCTATCAACAGATTAAATATTATAATCTACTGTATATAATATATATAGTCGTATCATGTCCAGTGCTGTAGGTGTAGCTGCTCCCTGGGACTTTGTAAAGGGTTAGGGACTGAAGTGGATGTTAACCTTCAACATGGCTAGCTTTGGTTTTATTATCATCAGAAGAAACAGCTGTGAATGAAAGTTAAAAGACACGCTAGTTCCTATCATGCATCTTCATTTCTCAAATACAAGAATGATGCATCTCTGGACTCAAAACCTTTGAACAGGCGTTCACTCAAATCATCAACAACAAACTGCTAACTACACGTACAATGATGCTAGTGAATGAACAGGTGAATAAATGAAAATGTGGCTGTCACTGGAAACAGTGGTGTTAAATTTAGAATGAGGTTTGGACAGAGGTGGTGCCACCTGTGTGTCTGTTGGAGCAGCTGATTCAGAGTGGTGGAGTCTGGAGCAGGGGAGAAGGTGATGATGCAGCAGCAGAGGTGTGGAGGTGACCATCTTTTTATAGGGAAGGTTTCTGGGACAGACATTCAGAGAGATGTCTGGCCAGTCTGTGGGTGGCTTTTGTCAATTCAAACGTTATGTGGATTTCCTTTCTTTTTTAATCTCTTTTAATCTTTCCTTTGAGCTAACAGTCAGCAGGGCAGTAGCCAATCTTAGAAGGATTCCAAGCAGGCTGTTGTTAAGGGCTGGGCCTTTCAGAAGAATATCACTGAGGGAGAGCCCATCTTATTGCGCAGATGAATCAAAGACAACACGTATGTGATCTATTTTTTGCGGATGGTAAACTCCAAATGTAGGCGGGTACCAGCACTCTTCGCCCTCTTCGAGGGGAGGCACAAGCTCTGCGTGACAGGTGTCTAACAGCCTTTGCATTAACTTGAAGAAGTGTGTTTTCATCTTTGGCTTTCTCTCAAAAGTCTGCGGCAGCAATGTAAAAGGTTTGACAGCATACTCCCGGTTGTTGGGAAGCCGTCGCAGAGGTTGTCGAAATGGCGAGGGAGCAGCTCAGCTGTTGGAGTCATCTTGGAAGTATTCCTTTCCAATATTGAGGCTGCAAGCTGATGGTCTTGAACTGTTTTGTGGAAGAGTGAGTTGCTTGAGCTGCACTCTGGTTCCCTGAGGACATCTTTAACTCTGATCTTGTTCTCACACTCAGATAACAGAGTAGGCCTCTCATTGTCAAGGATGCATGTTTTCATACTGCTGACTGTAGCAGACCTATGCAACCCATTACTGCAGACATCGCCAATGACCATCCTTAGACAGGTTTATCTGCCATTTATGGCCATTTAGGGCCCTCAACATGTCTCTCCCAATCAGAAGCAGAATCTCAGAATTGGGAGAAGGAATGTCTTCAGATGTCGGTGGTGAGAGACGACTTCGGGTGTGGGGATCTCTGCTCTGTTGTTGTGCTGTCAATGTGTGTGGTGCTTCTGTCCCACGAATGTCAAACATTTCGAAGAATTCAGTATGTGCCAATGACATATTGCTCTTGTTGTCTAATACTGCATACAGTCTTCTGAGGTCTTTACGGTGACCTGCTGGATAGATGTTAACCAAGCAAATATTTGAACACGATTTTCCACTGCTGCCAAGGCCACATTGGTGCAGTTGGAGAAAATGTCTTCTTGTTTTTCTCCCTCCCCACCGTTCTGTGTAGACAGGGAGGTTAGGACTGGAGTCAGTGTTTGTGGCATGGTGAGCAGCAGTATGTTTCTCACTACTGCATTCTGTGCATTTCACTGGGTTTTTTAAAATTTTTGGCATGACGGCTGGTAGAAGCACAGCATCGGAAACAAATAAAATTCTCTTCTTATGCTCTCCCAGAGACATCTTGATGAAACCTTTGCACAGCCTCAGCTTCTCTTTCTAGATTAAGTACCTGGAGTGGAGCTTCAAGCTTAGCCTTTTGTAACTTAATGTCCATTTCAGCAGCTTTCTGTTCACAATCCTCTTTTTCCATGATTCTGCGATTGGTTGCCTTCATCCGATGAATGTGCCTTCTTTTTACTGTCCTGTCCTCACTGAGCACTGTAACTCTGCCATATACTCAGTTTTTCAACACTCTCCCATCCATCCTCTAAGAAGCAGTCCATATGATCTTTAGTAGATTTCAATGAGAAAAAGTGAAACAACACAAAATACAAAAGACATTATGTCAATATTACAATAGAAGCTGCTGCCATGCATTTATCACACACTTAAAGTTAGCTTTCTGCAGCTAATAAACCTAAAGATGTCTTTTAAATAACCATTATTTTACTTACAGATGATGCCAAATCGGGATAAACCAAAGAAAAAGTGGCAGAAACCAACCTCTTGGCTGAGCACATGACGAATGACTAACAATTAGACTGAACTCGTCACTTAATGCAGGTTCAATGCCAACTTTGACCACTAAGTGACAGGAGGAAGCACTAAAACATTAGAGTTTGTCCTGAAAAATATCCCAAATAAAACTGAGCCAATACAACAAGGCAAAGGATGTAGTTATAATATCCTTCTGAAAAAGTTGACTTTATTGCCTTGTTGTTGTTCTTAGTACATCCTGAGGTTTT